CCCACAAAAGACCACGCACACATCCAGTCAATGATTCCAAATAAATACATTCATCAACTCCGTTCTAGATTTTCTTTTCACTGTCAACTATTCCAAAGTGATGTGAAGTGAAAATGAATCAAATCCAATTTACAGTAAATAAATCAAAATGTAAAATATTTGTGTTAAATTCCAAAAAAGTTCTTTTATTTTTTTTTCCCCAAACCCAAAGATTTTCATCTTAAGTGCCTCGTTGATGGAGGAAATTTAAATCATTCAAACTTCAGTCTTTTCTCTTTCTGACCTTCAAGGTCAACAGTTTTTATACACAAGGTCAACTCACTGATGTCGACTTTAAATGAATGAGCGACAGACGCGCCGACTCAGGGATATAATTAAAACTATCACTGCTCTATTTATAATTGAGAAGTTAGTCCGACTAAGACAGATGATCCACGAGGTCTTGGCCGCTCTGTTGAAGAAGACAGTAACGCTGTGTTGTTTTGGAATTTTCCAAATTCCAAGTTTTCCAAATGTGTGTTCCGTACATCGTGTTTCCTCGTCTGGTCCAAACACAGTTGAAGTATTTTTTTTTGTCATTGAAATACCCTGAATTCTTTGACTGGAAGTACTTCATCCAGCCCAGGGTCCAGCAGTCGTACTGTGTCGGAGTGGAGTGGCTCACGGACACCAGCTGGTGAAGGGATACAACAGGCAGTGGACGGTCTTAAACCTGCAGTACACACAGACGAATACACGTTACACACAATAGTACTATAATATTTGTTGGCATACTGCATTGAATACAAACCATTTTAACTTTAGTAATTAAAAGTTTTCTGAGGAAAAGTTGAGGTTTTGAACCATGAGACAACAAACACTTCTTATAAACTCAAGAAGAAACGTCTTCCGTATCACACGTTCCAAACGCGGTCTAACTTTCAACTGGGCCGTTTAATTCCATGAGTGAAAACAGCTCGAGAGTGAATGTGAAATATTCTAAAGCGGCGAAGAATGGACGTCTGATGATTATGTCCAGACTGACACCAAAGCGGTGATTAAAGGACCGCTGATTATCTCGGCTGAGCGCTGGACGCCTTTGTCCTTTTCCCCTCGTCTCATGGAGACAATGACGGAGTGACTTCTCTGTTAGTTTTGCGGCGAATCTACAAACTTCACAGTCGAGCGCTGTTTGAGTTTGAGCTTTTTACTGCAAGTCATGTTTGGATCATTATCAACAGGGGGCGCCATCTCTTGGTTTTCACCAAAAGTTACAAGTGACAATCGTGGTTTCCAGGTTCTGTAGCTCGTCTACTTCAGAGTTCCAAACGCTGCATATTTAGATTTGTACTTTGTCTTTGTACCTCGGTTTAGGAGTTACTCAGAGATATTCCTGTCAGCTCAAACCACCCTGGTCATTATCTTCAGACTGTCTGTGTAAACAGGATATTCATTTAATTATTTTGATCCATTCTGTATTATTATTATTTCCTAAAATGAGTTGCACAGAAAAATCTCAAAATTATTATTTTTTTCAACTTTCTGATTCTTGGGTTTTGACTTCCTAGTCATAAATCAGTCAGATCGTGACTGTAAATGTCTTTATTTGGGTCTTTTAGTGGCTAAAAAGACCATGTTGTGAAATTATCGACTGTAGCAGTGTAATAAATGGCTACAGACAATACCCCCCCGCTGGGGAGTGTTGGACTGAGGATACTGGGAAGATGAATGTGATGAAAAATCAAGACGCGGCGGTTGAGATTGAGAACTAGTTTGTTTGTTGGACAATAGGAGGAACAGCTCTACTGTCGCTCCGTCTTAGAAATAAATAAACGTGTTTCTAATCTAATGTTGCCCTTGAAAAATACTTTACTGTTTTATTGAATATATGAAGAAAAAAAAGAGGAAGCAGTAGGAAATGTCTGGATCTTTGAGACATTTCTTTTCCTCAGACGGTCAGATAGTGATGCTGCTGCCGGGTTCATGGATCTCTCAGAGCAGAAGGGCCTGCGCTATGAATATAAATGCCCTGCAGGAGCCCCGTGTCAGTGGCCGTGCGGCACACGCACACACTCAGGAGGTACGCCCCGGAGTGACACAACCAACCTGGAGGGGTCGTCCTCTTTAGAGAAGCTTCCTTTCACCTCGATGCTGTTCATCTTGTTCTCGAACATACCGTAGCTCAGTGTCAACTGCAGCCGAGCAAACACACACACACACTCAGATAAGAGATGAATCAGCAGCTATCTGCTGTACGTATGTGTGTGTGTGTGTGTCGCTACCTGATACGGGATGCTTCTGTGATTAATGAGCAGCAGGTTCTCCAGGTGGGAGTGGAACAACGGACAGTGGACCATGGAGATGCCCAGCCTCTTCTCCACGATAAAGCCCACCGTGCAGTCATCGGGGAGACGGATGATGGCTGACGTCTGCTCAAACCTGGTGCCGCTGCAAGATAGCGTTTATAAACAACTATAAATATTTTATTTTCATATTTATATTTTCCAGAAATGGCCATGTAAATAAATGCAGTACCACTGCTGGCCAGCAGGGGCTGAGGGCTTTCAGTGATTATTTTGAGTAGAGGTGTCAAATGATTAAGATTTTTAATCTCATTAACCACAGGGTAACTATTGGATTATATCGCAATTAATCACGATTAATCAGTCAGTCGTTCTCAACCCGCGGTTCGTCACAACGCATTTGAACATTGTGTCAGTTAGCTTGTCAGTCGTATGTCTACTTACTGACCTGCCCAAACATGCTGGACATTTCTTTAAACATGAGGCAAACGAAAATATTTTCCTACGCCGTGTGTAAATGTGTTTTGAAGCAACAACAAGCGTACGTCAATTGATGTGAATAACGCAGTGGAAAATTATCCAATTTCATTTAATTGAGCTGAAATTTTTATTTATTTCGTAACATTTTCCTTTGCTCGTCAAAGCATGAAAGGCAGAACAATTAAATACTCTTCTGCTAGGTGGCAGCAGAGGGCTATGAAAACTAAACAAAAAAACATTATCAGAACTGTTGAAGAAGATCTTTGTGAGTGTCTTTCTTCAATTCCTGCCAGTATATTTAGCATTGTCTTCAACGTTTGTTTCCATCATGATGCTACATTTCAGTCTCTCTCCTGATTGGTTGATGGTGATGTTGCAGTGTTGGTCGTTAGTCTCTAGTTTTTGTTTTCCGGGCTTCACTTTCTCGTGTTTTGGCCGAGGGAGTAAAACTGTTGTCACTGTTTATCCCAGAATGGGTATTGGCATGAAGTTTTTCTTTATTTATTTCTCTGTCCTTTTAATGCTGACCTTTTCCAAAGGACACTGTAAATTTTGGTATTGATTCTGCCTCCTCCGGCCCCGGCACAGTGGGCGGCTATTTGTCTCAGCTCTTCAGCCGCAGTATTAACTAAACACTGGCAGAAAACTGCATCATATTTTACAGCAGCCGTTAAAGCTGCTGTCAGTGAGATTTTTGGGTCAAATCTTTAGAGAAAAAAAAAACCTCATTATTTCCATGTCCCCAGTGTTATGGCTGTAAATCTAGAAGACATTTTTCCAATGTTCGAAGCATGACTTGATCCAATCAGGTGCAGATACTGCTTCGACTCTGCCCTCGATTGAATGTTCACACTCAATAATATTTGGATTAATTTTTGAGACGGGACTTGAACCAGTTCATTTGAAATAATCGTAACTTTTAGAGTTTCTTTTTTACTCCTTTTTTTCACACATTTTCAGACTTTTTTTTTTTTTCAGTTTTTATGGTCTTGTGTTTGTCATGTTTATACTCATGTTCACAGACTCAGAGTCAGTGACAGATACCTGGCCCATGGAGACATTTTTTCCGCCAGTGGTCGACTCAGACAGAAACCTGCTCCTCCTGTGGCGAACCAGAAGTGGACCTCCCTCTGCACACACACACAAAGACACACACACACACATCAGCATGACTCTTCAGCAAACGAGCATCTGACCTTCACTTGTTGAGTCCTTTAGAGGTTTATTGTTATCTATCTACAGGGAAATACTGAAAAAAAAATGTCATCAGTGGTTCCAGTCTGGTTCATTCTCCTTAAATCATCATCATCATTATTATTATTATTATTATTATTTTCCTAACTTCTAGTTTGATAACTTTTTAATTTTGATTTGATCTCCTGCCTTTCCTTTTAGTCACTTTACTTTTTTTCCTACTTTTTCCTGTCTTTTTTTTTCTCTGTGTTTCTTACAATCCTTTCTTTTTTCCTCTTTGCTTCTTTCCTTTACGTCCATTCAATTTCTTCTCTTTTCTTCTCTTTCTTCTTCTTTCCTATTTGAGCTGTGTAAGAATCAATCGAATCTTTCCTTTCCCCTGTCTGTCCATGTTTACCTTCCTGGACTCCACTCCTTTCTTACCATCTATTTCCCCGTTTCTCTCATCCCTCCTTTCATTCCTTGACATCTTTTTTTTCTTTTTTCGTCTTTTAATTTCCTTTCCTGTGAATTATTTTCCCATTTTGTTTTATTGTGGCGTCTCCTCCTTTTTCTGCTCTCTTTTCTTCTTCCTCTCGGCTTCACAATGGTGACAGGAAATCAAAGAAGATAGGCAGCCAAAAGAGAGGAGGGGGGGGGGGTGGGGGGGAAAGGGGGGAGACAGGGAGCAGCACATTTGCTTTTTGTTTCCTCCATCACACGTATGACCTAAGGGAGAGGTGGAAATGTTTGAAAAAGCCCGAGAAGAGAGAAGTGGAAGAGGGAGACGAATCGGAAAATGGGAGTGTGAAGAGAGAGAGAGAGAGAGAGAGAGAGAGAGAGAGCGAGCGGGAGAAGGAGTTAGGAAGCAAAGATAAATAAGGATCTATTTTTCAGTGTAAATGGGTGCAATCAGTGCACAGAATGTGGCGCGGGGGAGACGGAGGGAGTCATTTACTTCAAGGAAAGAGGAGAGGAGCGAGGTAGAAAGGAAAAGAGAGGGAGAGGGAAGTGGAGAAAGAGGGAGTGAGGGAGGGAGGGAGAGGGTGATGTGCTTTTCACTGAGCCTGCTGGAATTATGATGCAATTTGAATAAACGAGTGCATTAATCCTGCTGTTAAGCATGTGAGCCAAATAACACACACACACACACACACACACACTGTAGCAGCTGCATGTGTGTTCCTTAAACAAACTATCGACCTCCTGCAGTTTGACAGCCTTCCTTCCCCTGGAGGATCGTCCTCATTGTGTGTCTGTGTATGAATTTTACCACTAATCAATATTCCAGCCAGAAACTAATCACTGATTGATCCTTCGGAGCTTCGGAGCTAATACGTCCCCCGAGGACAAAAACACATCCGTCCATCTATTCTACCATCCGTCCATTTAACCATCCGTCCATCCATTCTTCTGCTGAGGAAGAACGGAGCTCACTGTCGAAACACGTCGAGCTAAAACTCGAGAGTCGTTTCATTTCATTTCTATCAAGGCCACACAGTAGAACCAGGGCTTGGATCCAGTTCCACCGCGTCACTAACTCCTCAACACCGTTGCTGTCTGTGTTCCAGACATTTAATGCTAAGTTGCGTTACGTACCCGGGCCCCCTGGTGGTAGCCCTTAGCCAACATAAATAAAACACCGGGGGTTTAAAACTGTACCAGATGTTGAAGTGTTGATCATCTGCCTGTAGAGAAGGGAAATGGAAAACTGTGATTGTCATAACGCGACATGACAGCAGGGGGCCTCGGGCGATTTGGACTCGGATTCTCTTTTTGAGAGAACACACACGGGAAAGGAAAAACATGGAAAAACATGGACGGAATCCACTGGTACCTGTCAGTGATTGACGACAACGATGTGTGATGGAAGGAGGAGGATAAAGAGAGAGGGAGAGAATTCTAGTTCAAGATAAAGGGAATAAAAAAACAGCTTTGAAGACAGTAAAGCTAGAGGAAGAAGAAAAAAAAGGCTAAATGTGTAGAGTCACATCCAAAGACAGTAATGTATCTCCGAGGGGTCACCCTGCCTTTGGAAGTTATCTGTCCACGTAAATTAAATTCAGCCCGGGTTTCAGGGGAGTTACAGACTGCTGTGGTGAAAATGCTGTTTCACCTCAGAGGAAACGCTGAGGCCGTGTTTTTTTCCCTTAACATAAAAATTGACACATTTCACTTGTTAAGTACCAGCACAGAGCAGGATTTTGTGAAACACATTTCTGTGTAACAAAGTGAAGCTGTGCAGCTGCCCAGTCTGAGGAGGTTTGGCTGGAACTGCCAAGAATCCCTGCAGCTCCCGCTTTCTGGTCCGTGTTTGACGTTTGTTTCCTTTAATTTGTCACTAAGATTTTAAGTAGTGCCGTGTTTGTCACCGGTGCAAAAGTCAGCAGCAGATGGATGCGTAAAGACTGAGCGAGCTAACCCCACGGTAGCTATCATGTTAGCGCTGATTAGTCTTAGAGTTATGAATCTTTGGCGACCCCTGCTGTAGTTACCGTTGTATTGTTGTCCAGAAGTTCGTGACCTGTGATTGGTCTGTCCAGACTTGGTTTACCCACGTAGATGTCTTCTCCCTGGGGGAAGGCTGAGAGCACGGAGAGTAAGGCCTCGGGGTTCACGTAGTTATCGTCGTCCACGTGACAAAACCAACTTAAAGAACAAAGAACAAAAGTGCAGGTTAAATTAAACCCTAACATATTTATATATATATACAGTTTATACATAAATGATAAATTACAGACCTTTTTTTTCGAGCAACAATCACGGATGTTGTCACGAAAAAGTCATTTATTTTGATGAACTTGCACACTATTATCTTTTATGGGTTTTTTGAGGTGCGTGGGTTTCATTAAGGTGAATTCACCAAAGAATACTTTTTTGACTTCACCTCAGCTTTGGAGGAATATTTATCAAAAACTCATTGTCTTGATCTGTGATAAAATACTCACTGAAGATAAGTTACCTTGTGTTTTCTCCAGGAAATATCTTTAAACCTTTGCATGAACATTTAGTCAAAGTGTTTGTGAGTTTTAAAAACTTTTTTTTTTTTTAATTTCTCTCTGCAGTCCCTGACCTTTCTTGTATCAGCGTAGTTAACGTAAACATAACGTTGAAAATCAGGCCGCCTTAAATGACCGGAGGCGTCGCAATCGACTGCCAACTCAGGAACCACATTCATCAACATGATGGAAATTTCAGTGCGTTAATCCAGCGACTGATTAAGGCGGTTTGATGACAGACCGTTACGACGTCGGCGTTTCTCTCCAGTCCAAACTCTCTGTTGCTGCAACATTCCGGTCCAAAAGACAAAGCAGCTGGTATCGAAATGCAGCAGAACAACGAGGCACGGTTCCAAACCAGAACAGATTCACTCCTCACATCACTCCAAATAGAAAAGTGAGATTTGGAAGAGAGTGAAAACAGCTGTTCCAGCTTCAGGCATGAACAGGCAGGAATCTCATGTTGGTTTCTCTGCACGTAGACCGACGAAACCAGGTCGTCTGGTTAGTGAGTTTCCAAAATCATAATCAACATGTTATCTGTTGGTTACAGTCAATACTCTCTCTGAATATATATATGTATATATATATTTCTTCTTTTGTTTTCCACAGAGCTGCTACTTCTTAAAATAATGTTTTCTTTTGTTTGTTTTTCACGTTTTCTGTACCTAAAAGTCAACAGTTTGCGTTTTCTGCTTCTTTCTGTATAAACTCTGTCGATGTTAAGCAGCTTCAACACACCTTCAAGCTAACCGTGCTAACACAGAGCACTTTTCTTCTTTTTCTTTGGGCTTGGGCTAGCAGCAGGTCTGAATTCTAAGAGTTGCATATTGCTGCCACCTGCTGGGACTAGCTGTCACTGATAAATATTTCTCTACAGAGGTGGAGCAAAAAAGAGAGAGAAAAAAAGAGAAAATCCAGACAGAGGGTAAAATCCCAGTATGACATTATTTTATATTTCTTTATTAAGAAACATTTTTGTCGGACTATACCTTTAAACACTTTTAATACCCGCAGCCTCCCGCGGTGATGGTAAAAACCTAACAGCATGTCAAACTGCAGCGTGGGCAGATTCATACTTGGACTTTTCTCAGTCTCACCTCTTGTCTGAGGCCATGAAGCCGTCGTACTCTGCAGACATCTTGCAGGACAGAGCCTGCTGGCTGTGATCGGACTGGCAACCCGTCACCACCGTGTTGTAGCCTGCACAGAGTTGATCGATCTGAGACTGTTCTGCTTCGTTAATGCGACGTTAAAAATCTGCAGAGAATTCCACGCTGCTGCTCACCTTGTGAACTCAAGTCTTCATCCTTCATATCAGTGAAGATGAAAGTCTGGGAGAGAGAGGAGAGTGGGGGCGGGGGGAGAGGAGTGAGGGGGGGTAAAGGATCAGTATAGTTTTAAATAGAGCAAACCCAGTGTGACAGATCTGAGGCTGCCACTGTGCAATGAGTCACTGTACACACACACACACACAGACATGGACCGTATTTCTGTCAGTGCGAGGACACTCACTGACACAGTAGAGACTGGACTCTCTGCTGCCCCCTAACTGTATCCTTCACTCATCATAACTTATCATACATTAACCTGACTCTGTATCCAAACAAGTCTTAACTCTGAAAACAGAAGCAGGTGAAAATGTCCTGAACACTCCTCCTCCTCCTTCTCCTCCTCCTCCTCCTCAGTCGTCTGTAGTTTGTACAAGGACAAAGTGACATCTAACAGGAGTGAAATATAACTGAGCACCAGGGAGGAAGGAAGGAAGAAAGGAAAGAAGGGAGGGAGTGAGTGAGTGAGGAAGGAAGGAAGGAAGGAAGGAAGGAAGGAAGGAAGGAAGGAAGGAAGAAAGGAAGGAAGAGAGGGAGAAAGAGAGGGAGAAAGAGAGAAGCACAATGCCGACCTCTAGTGTTATCAAAATGTAAATGTTTTAGTAAACAGTTGAAATAGGGGTTTGAATTAATACTATAAATCATCAGTGGTCATAGAAAAAAAAAACAGCCATGGCGTCTGCACCTAAATGATGTTGAGAATCAGCTTCAGGTTTCTTTAGGGGGCAACAAACCTGTGGCCCAGGGGCCACTTCTGGCCCATATCCGGGCAGGAACTGGTTCAAATAAATTGATTTTGACCATGGGGGATTTTTGTAAATTTATTTTTAACTGTGTTTTTTAAATGCTTCAGTTGGTCACTTAAGAATGAGAATAAAAGTTGTTTTTTTCTCACCTTGTTATACAAAAAAATGACTTCCTCTATCCTTTATCTCTCTCTCTCTCTCTCTCTCTCTCTCTCTAGTCACACGATTTATTTTGCCACATTTTTTCATCTCGGACCTCCAGGCCCTAAAGCAACAAAACCCCCGTAGTTTACCCCCGCCTCGGGCCGTAACTCCACCAAAAACTACCTGCTGTAAAATCAGTCCGACCAAGACCACGTTACAAATCGCCGGACTGTCGCTTACAGCGGAGTTCATGCCGAGGTGTGTGTGTGTGTGTGGGGGGGGGGATAACTCACCCGGGTGAGGCAGGGATACATAAATCCCATCTTGTTTTTCACAGTTTTAAAGGGCCATTAAGTGAGATTTCTACTGCCCCGTAGAACGCAATAACAGCGATGCATCATGGTTCAGACTCCGATCTATACTTTGGCAAGTCCTTGGCTGAGCGATCAAACTTTGCCATTTAAATCAGCAACTTGGCCCTCGACCAAACCGGGAACATTACTCTAATCATATAGATATACCTTTCTGCCTCTGGGTATTTAAGTGCTTCACTAATGCTGTGACTAATGGATCCAGTTCTAAAGTAAAAGCACATCACCATCCAGAGTACCTCCTCACCAGTACTTTTACTCTGTTAGCGTTTGTGGGCAAGTATTGAAGTATTACTAGGTTTGATTTCTTGAAGTGGTCTCGATGGGAGGGGGGGCGGAGGGGGTTGTACACGGAGTAAACTCATGTCATAATGATTAATAATAAGGATGTAACAATTAACTCGACTCACGATACCAGTCACTCAGGCTGCGTCAGGACGTTTTTAGGCGCACGCCTCCCCCTACTGTTCTAAACTGGTAGTGTCATGGTATGACCGGTGACTTTTTGAGATAACGCAGCCTCCTCCTTGGTGTTAAAACATGTGAGTGCACAACATTACAATGCTAATGTCTAGAAGTGAATGCTCGTTGGCTCTGGTCTGTTGGTCTTTCTTCAAGCGGTAAAATCGAAAGTTTAAAGTAGATTTGGGTTTAAAATGTTTCATTATGAACCACATAAAAAAAACATTAGGCACTAACATAGCTTCTTAAAGTTAGAGAAGTTGTTGATTTTAACTTTGCACAAGTGTGTGTGTGTGTGTGTGTGTGTGTGTATTAGCCCCTCACTTCCTGTTCTGGGACCTGTATCCGTCGTTCTAGTATTGTTAGCAGTGTAGCCACATGACGACTGCTTCCTCTTACCCCAGACAAGCTGCCTGCACAGCTTCCTGTAAGTGTTTGTGTGTGTGTGTGTGAGTGTGATTGTGTGTGAAACCTTCTGTTTCTTGTATTTCAGTCCTTCTTCATGTCGTTGTACGTCCACATGAATACGAGTTTATATTATTGTTTATTATTGTAATTGTACTGCGTCATAAACTCTGGTGTAAAAGTGTCTTTTAACGAGTGACAACAACAAACATCTGATCCACCTTTTTGAACTGTCTTTGTTCAAAATCACATTAGTTTTTCTTTTAAAAAGTTCCCACTTTACGGCGACGGAGAAGCTGCTACAACATGAACAACACCTCCCGTCGCCTTTATTATCGAGAACTAGTTAAATCTGAATGTGATATTATTACTGATATGAAGGAACATTATTATAAAATATATATATATGTAAATACAAATCTGCAGTATAAGCACATTTTCATTTAAACACCTTTGCAGACTGTGTGTGGAGGTGTACAGCTCTATGGAACATGTGAGCTCTGTGCTATAATCAGGGAAGTTGAAGACCAACTTTCCGTCATTTTGACACAAAGTCACCATCAAAAACTCTTTCCATAATCTTAACTGATTTCACGGGGTTTCTGTCGGGGTTTCCAGGTGTGTGTGTGTGTGTGTGTGTGTTGGTCAAAGACTCACGTGCTCTTTGGTTCTGGAGATCCACGTCTGTAGAAGGAGCGCAAGTCGCGTCTTGTGGAACTTGCCGGTGGTTTTCACGGCGATATAAGTGTCCTCCCGCCTCAGCCTCAGCCTCAGCCTCTGTCGGGTCACCGGGTGTCCGTTTGACCCACGGGTGTCACGGCTGCTCTGGATGCTGCTGTCCGGCAGCGGCTCCGGTGCGCCGCCGGCCCGGGTGGGACTCTGCCGGTTGTCGCGGAGATGGAGCGCCGCAGCGGGTAACGGAGCCCGGAGCGCACTGAGTTTGGGTCGGTTGTTGGCGCGCAGTTGGAAATCCACAAAGAGAATTAGGAAGAAAGTGAGAATGAAGACCGGCAGCCTGCGTCGTATCCATTTCGCCTGCATTGTAACCTCAGTTCGTGCTCACGTCGACTTTTAGAACCATGTTCTCGTTCTCCTTCATGTTCCTCATTTAGGTCTAATTTCACTTCCTAAATAAAGTCTTCCGTCTCAAACCTGACGTCAACTTCCATCGTATTTACATGTCGTATCCAGTGTGTTAAATGTCACCTGTCAGCGCGGCTGTTTCTGTCTCTGACTTTGTGCGTAAAAGTCACCGGATGTCGCAGGCGCAGCTCTGCCCACTCTGATTATCGCTGCTGCAGAAACCAGTGCTATCACTGATGCTTCCTGACATCGGTTCCTAAATGAGTCACATCTGTCACTGCTGTGCTTTTACTCAGAAAGTGTCGCTGTCGTGTAGAAAACCAAGGTTAGGGCTTCATTCCAATGCATGGAAATGAAATATATGGTACAAAAGGAACTATATTTTACTGCATGAAATACACTGTACTGCATGATTATGGTTAATAAATACAAACTACAGGTGCTCAAATGAAAACAAAAAAATATTTTCCGCAAACTACAGGTGCTCAAATGAAAACAAAAACAAAAAACTGTTTTCCGCAGTGTGTGTAAATGACAACATTTGCATCAACTGTAGAGCAACGACAATGGAATTATTGGACATACAGGGCGATTTTTTAACAATTAATTTATTAAATCTGATTAATTTCACAATTTAATTGACGCGATTTCACGCTTTTGTTTTGCAGCCTTGATTTATTATAATAAAAATGACATAAACAACCTCAGTGAGTCGGAGCATCAACATATGGTTCTTTGGTCAGGTTTGATCTTATGAACTATTTCCTTATATGGACCGATGTCATGTGAGTGTCAGTGTTCAGTATAGCTGTGTGGTCATGTGACTTTTTTGCGGTTATTACTGAGCGGCATTTATTTATAAGTGCACGGCTTTTTTCATAAACCAAGATGCAAACAAGCTTTGTAGCCCCCTGGTGGACATTCAAATAAGCGCAGGTTTAAGGAACTTCTGCACTTCAGTGTCCAATTTCAAGATCCAAAGTTTTTATAATTTTTAATACATTTTTACACAGTTATTTTTCCTAGACCCTAAGGTTATTGTTGTTTAGGAAAACGTGTTCCTTTTGCAGATCAAAATATGTAAAATTTCCTGGTTCTCCCAGATTCACAATGTACTTTTGTTTCATTTCAAACTTTTCATATTTAATCTATATTTAATTTAATTTTTTTGTTTGTTTGTTTTTAGGTTTTTTTTTTCCTCGTTTAGTAGTAGTAGTAGTAAAATAGCGGGATATTTCAGGGTATTTCAGACGTTCTGACAGGGAGGAACCACCAGTGTTTGCTCTGCTCTTCCACAGCTTCAGCTTCAGCTTCTCTCCAACCTGCTCTGAAGTTGTCCACCACTGTCTCCACGCTCTACGGTTTTCTGTGCTTCTGTCTCCAGAGACTGTTGCCAAAGAGCTTGATACAATTAATTCACCTCAGACCCTCATCGCCACCTTTGTTTATTTGTCCTTTCTCAGCGTTCTCGCCTTACATCCATTCCTACATCCCTCCCCTCTGTTTTCCACCTCTCTCTCTTTATCTCTTTCCCCTTCTCTCTTCCACTGACCAGCTGCTTTCCTGTCCTCCACCCACGTCCATGACCCGGCCCAGCTAGGTCCAGCCCACCCTCTCCCCGCCCCTCGCGGTCCCGCAGGTAAACCAGAGACGCCCAGGGCACACCCTGGTTTAGGAAAGGCTCAGGATCGCTTTACGACCCAGCTGAAAAGGACCCTTTTCTAAAACACCAAGTACAACACGGCCCCGCTTTGAACAAAGGACCGGCGGAGTCGAGGGACCAGACCCTCTTTTAAGGCTTTGTGTATTTGCCTGCTCTGAGCTCAGAATCAGACGGGGACTTGGACTGAACCCAACGACTGGGATTAAAAGAAATACGGCAGATACAAAAGCATGGAAGAAATGAAACAGAAACAGAAAAGAATGTGGTGTGAACTGTAACTGTAGCTGCTTTTAAGGATTATTACATGTATTTTTATCAAGCTTTGAGCTACGTATGTGTTTTTTTATTTTTATTTAACATGGATTTCAACCCTTAAAAATATGTTTCCTTTTCCTAAAACTGGTCCCTAGACGAGACAGAGATGCCGTGTTTCGGCCTAAATAGAAGTTATGTAAGGAACTGTGTTTGGTATTTTTAGAACCAAAGATATTTTTTAAAGAAAACGTAATGTGGAGATTAGAAACACGGACACGGATCTTCTCTCTTTACTTTAAAGAAAAATAGAAAAACAAATAATAAAGGCATCGGTGCTGGTTGAGAAAAGTGCAGGAACAATTCCGGGTCCAGGAACAAAGAAAACCTCAGAGGGCAAACCACTTAACTCAACAAAAGGCCAGTAAAATGACCTGAGTGTTGATGTGCATTTGTGTATGTGTGCACACCACTGTGGGTTTGTGTGTGTGTGATCTCTGCTGCAGCAGAAAAAAAAAGTTTCAAAAAGTTTTCAGGGTCAAGGCTGGGGTCATTTCATCATCCTCTGTCATGTGATGCCACAACTTCAAAATCCAATGTCCAGAGGAATAGAGCCAGGAAGCCCAAAGAAATGAGAAACCGGCGTGTCTGGACAGATGGGGTGAAATAGTATCAGACGCCCCACTGGAGTACCTTACAGCCCCACTCTTAATCTTCAATCTCCAGTTGACACGCTGCTGCTGCTGCTGCTGATGTATATGTAGCCCTCAGCACCGTGTGAGGGGAGTGGCACGATGTTCTGGAGAGTAGGAGAGTCGCACAAATACAACAACAGAATTCAGTTTAAAATCTATTCTATTATTCTAATTACATGGGAAAAACAGATGTCTGGTTGATATAATTCCAGGTATGAAATCTGAATAAGCCCAATAAGAATTGTTGACTCTTTTATTAACAATGGATGAGTGTATTTTTTAAGTTTAAGGTTATTAGTTGTACACCGTTATCCTGAAAACAGGTAATCCGTCTGTGATACAAAAATTGGGCAGCAGAGGGAGCCAAACTATCAATTACAATCGAACTAAATCCAGATTCATTGTATTTCATTACGATCACAAAGCTTAATGTTTATGATGTATTTATTTGAATAAAATGTAAAAATAAATGTTTGGGACGTTTTGCAAAATTATAAATATGTTTAAAAAATAACTGTACTACATGTAAAGTTGATTTTCTTTTTGGTTTTCTAAGAGTGACGAAAAAAAGGAAAGCCCAAAAGTTTGACAGTACGATGATATTAAATAAATTATGAGGTGATTTTTTTCATACTAACTTATGGAAGTATGTGAAATATCTACTATCTATAAAAATCTCACATTTTAAACAGCGTGACTGTAACTAACTCGTGTGACTGTCCTTTCACCTGCAAGGCAACGAAAAGGGCATCACTGACCAAATGATGTGATTTGTTAAAGGACTATTTCCGGGTCTTGGCCCCGCCCCTTCAAAACAAAGCACACACACACACACACACCCTCGGCATTAGCCGGTCGGGAACCAGAGAAGACCTCTGTCCGTGGAGTTCCTACCTCGGCAGACATGGCCCAGGCGAACATCTCCGTGACGGAGAGCCAGTTCAGGTGTCCCATCTGCCTGGACATCCTGAAAGACCCGGTGTCCATCCCCTGTGGACACACGTACTGCATGGCGTGCATCAACAATTACTGGGACCAAGCGGAGTCGGGGCAGATCAGCTGCCCCCAGTGCCGGGAGGCGTTCAGCCCGCGGCCGGTGCTGCGGAGGAACACGGTGCTCGCCGAGGTGGTGGAGAAGCTGAAGCTGAGCGAACTGACCGCAGCGCCGGAACTCTACTTGGTGGGAGTCGGGCAGGTGCCGTGCGACTTTTGCCCAGTGGAGGGCAAGCTCCGGGCGGTGAAGTCATGCCTCGTCTGCCTGGCGTCGTTCTGCGAGCTCCACGTTCTTCCGCACCGCGAGGTCGGCACGCTGCGGCGGCACAAGCTAGTGGCCGCCGTGGAGAGTCTGGCGGACCGGCTGTGCGCCCAGCACCGGCTGGGTCTGGAGCCCTCGGGGAGCGGCTCCGAGTCTGAGGCTGCGGTGGAGTGGAGCGGCGACTGTTTACTTTGTGAGGCCGACCAGGAGGAGGCGCACAATGTTGACGCCCAGAGAGTCAGGAGACAGGTGCTCAGGGTTTGAAAACCATCTCGTGGTGAAGTTTTATTGTGTTCTTCTTATTCATCATAATAATAATAACAATAATAATAATTATTATTATTATACTGAATTCCAAGAACACATGATAGCCCTGGAGTTATCAGTAAAGTTATTTGGTTTGTTCCCTCTGGGCCACTGTAGTGCATCGCGACCCTCTTCTGACGTCACAAAAATATAGATAATTCTGGAATCATTACAAATGGGTTTCGGTTATTTAAACGTTAATTTTGGGCAATAAGATTTATTAAAAGAGAGTAGATTTGTGTGTGTGTGTGTCTTACTTGGCACAGTATTTTAAATTTCTATTTTTCTTTTCAGTATTTAAAGTATCAGGAAAATTAGAGCTGGGTCGTTGGCTACACATAAATACAGTTGATAAATTTAAGATAGTTCTTGTTCATTTTAAATATTTTTAACAAAAATTAAAATATAGTTGTATTCCTACATTTGGTTTGTAATTTAATCGTGATCATAATTGACTAAGGGATTGAGGTGGAAAATTTTTACAAACATTTTACACACATTTGCCTCAAAAAGTCTGGTATGTAAAAACTGGAGGAAAAAATTACTTATTTCAAAATTATTAGCCACTTATATATATTATATATTTAATAGTTAAGTGTATTTCCCCAAAAAAGGAAAGTTGTCAACAGTACCTCATTTTACTCATTTAAAAAAATGCCATGTCACTCTCACTGTGCTGAAGCTGCAGCTGCAGCTTGACTGAAAACTGCCTCTAGTGTTTACATAGTTTATGTTTTTACATTTTCATCTACATGCAGCAATGAAAGAAATCTATTAATACTTTTTTTTTAAACTGTGTTCATGTAGGATTAAAATGAAAGAGTATCACACAATATCAAGTTTAATGGGATTTTTCTCAGAACATATTTTGCTTTTTATTTTTTTGCCGTGGTTACAAAAGTTGTAGTAGTTGATAAATGAACCCAGATCCTCGACCCAGTCTGACTGACTCTTATCTCTCTCTCTCCATCTGTTTGTCTGTCTTTGTCTCTGTCTTTGTCTCTGTCTCCACCTGTCTCCTGCTGCTGTATCTGTGTCTGTCTGTATCCCAGCTTCAGCTGCAGGACTATCAGAGAATGATTCAGGGCAGGATCCGGAGTGGAGAGAGAGAGATAGAGGAGTTTCAGCAGAGTTTAGAATCCCTCAAGGTGAAACACACACTTTAACACACAGACACACACACACATGCTGGATTTTTGCTGTTAATCTGTTTAAGAACATCAGTCTATACAGGCATAGTTAGGAGAAACACCCGTACGGGTTAAATATGGTGTGGTTTTTAGCTCTAACAGTTTAATGTATTCACCTGTCGACAGACGTTTGATTCTTGTTTCCAACACATGACATATTTGTATAGATTAATCTACAATTACTTTGAGAGAAAATATATATTACAGTCATCCAAGGCCCCCCTAAATATATTATTATTATTATTGTTTTTATTATACTTGATTTTAGGCAACATGATCAGATATGGTTGATGTTGGTTGTTACAAGATTTTTACTTATTTAAACTTAATTTCAATTCTTCTGTCAAAATATTGATGACTTTCTGTAGACTTAGAGGAGGGGGGGTCAGTGGGTGACAGACTTTCCAGTCAAAGAGTCTGATTGAAGGTTCTGAAGCAGCTGCATGTGAACTCTGGATGCACCACCATCACTCATCTTCATCATGTTTCACACAAACACACACACATAATTCACACACACACACTCACTCAGTGGAGACGCTGCCTGAGTTTCCACTGCTGAGCTAATTTGAGTGCCTCGGTCTTCGCCGCTGCTCCTCCGGTAATGACTGCACCTCCTCCCTCCTGAGCTTTAATCCCCGTCCGTCGTTCCTGTCTGTGGCAGCTCCACATTTAGACAACAACATGACGTCACATTCTCAGAACCAGTCTGTTCTTCCTCCTCCCGGCCCCTGTGTATAGTCAGTTTAAAGTGCAGCTACATGAGTGTTTACAGTGGTAATTTATTGTTTTTATTCTGTTTTAACAAGCAAAAAAAAAATGGTTTGTCGCACAAGATTAAAATAAAAAATATTTGTTGGTTTTCTCCTTGTATATATTATTTATACACTGAGTTTCATTGCTTAATAACAACTAATGTTTTTGTTTATTATTCTTATATTTATAGATTTAAAGAGACAATTGTGGTGACAGTTGAAATGTCAATGTAATTTTTCTCCTTGTATATATTATTTATACATTGAGTTTCATTGCTTATTAACAAGTAATGTTTTTGTTTATTATTCTTTTGTTTTTACAATTGTGGTGACAGTTGAAATGTTAATGTAAAAGTGTGACTTTCTGGTTATCATGTTAATAAACACTGTTTGTATTTCAGGTATCGGCGTCGGCCGTTCTAGAGGACAGTGAAGCTCTGTTTGCAGACATGGCAGTTCGCCTCGAGAAAACCAAAGCAGAGGTAACTTCCTGACTCAAGTCATTTGTGACGAACTTCCTTTTTATTTTTATTTTTTGCTTTTTTTAAATTAATCCACGTGGTTTAGTATTGTTTATATGTATATGTATATGTTTGGTGAAAAATCATAAATTATAAATAAAATGTACAAAAATTAAACCTAAAAACAATATGTATATGTTTGGTGAAAAATCATAAATTATAAATAAAATGTACAAAGATGAAACCTAAAAAAATGCCACATTTGGTGTCTACTGCCATCTAGTGGCAACAACTGTAATTACAGTCGATTTGTTGTAAGGTATGGAACAGAAATATTGACGTCGGTTTATGCCATACAATGAGCCAGTGTTTGGTGGCCGGATTAGAAGCCCTGAGGGCTGAATCTGGCCCACGAGCCATAGTTTGCCCATGTCTGGTTTAAACATAATATTTCAAACCCTGTTATGTTTCAACAAAAGTCACACTACATGATGAGGAGTTCAGATGTATAAATGAACTGCTTGGTGTTCAAAGGTTCGAACCAGGTTGGAGGCAAAGGAGCGGGCGCTGGTTGGTCGAGCTGAACGTGATGTAGAGATGTTGGAGAGAGATGTGGACGAGCTGAAGAGGAGAGACGAGGAGATCGCTCAGCTGATGCAAGTGGAGGACAACGCACATTTCTTCCAGGTGAGAAGATACATTTGTAGAACGATTGTTGTGGCCGTGGAGAAGAAGATTTCATCATCTTAACGTAAGGTCAGGATGAAAGTCCTGTCAGAAGAAAATTCAGACGTGGGTCAGTTGGAAAAAGTATGTCTGAGAGGCGACTGACGCTGCTGACGTTCCTTTTCTCCCCCCACCTCAGGCGGCTCCGCTCTTGTGCGTCCCTCTCTCCACTGGCTCACACTCCAGAGCTCTCAGTCTGCCCACGGAGGCCTTCAGCGGAGCCAGGAGAGTGCTGTGCCACTTTCGCAGTCGAATGGAAGAAGTTTGCAGAGAGGAGGTGGACAAGATCAGCCGCTCAGGTACTCCATGTCCAAGTCCAGTCCAGACCGGGCACCAAATCACAACGTACAATATTGGTGTCTTTGTCTTTTACCAAAAAGAGTCTGCTCTCCTGAAGGAGTATAGATAAGTATAGATCAGGGGTGTTAAACATACGGGCCGTGGGCCAAACCCAGCCCCGTAGGAGGTTCATTCTTGATTAATTCTGAAAGTTATATTTCATGAGATGTCTAATATACTGTTACTTCTTTGCATGAAAACAAAGGGAAAAACATGTACTAATTAGGCTGTCAGTGACCTTTGAACCAAAATAAGTTCAACAACCCTGGTATAGATGTTTCTTTAACTGTAAATTTTTTTTCTTTTTCTTTTAGTCAATGAGAACTACGTGTCTGGTGGAGAGTGTGTAAAAGGTAAGAAACACGATACGTAAACTCACACACACTTACACACACTCAGTGGCACAGTGTCAGTGCTGCGGTGACCCATTTCCACCAGGCTACAGGTTTTGACAGTGTGGTGTTTAATTATTGATGTTGACGTTGACAGGGTGGTGCGTGAGGCTCTGGCTCCGCCCCCAACACTCTGCTCCGTCTTCATCAGCTCAGCTCGGTGTGGGCAGATTGAAATTCAGCTCCGCTCTCTCGAGTTTAAACTGTGTGACATTTACAGCAACAATAGCAGTTCACCTCTGTGGTGTGAGAGACGTTGCACTGTCTGTGATTCAGGGAATGTTAAAGGTAAAAGTTAAAGACGGTGAAGTGAGGGTTTAAATGTGTCTTCTAATATTTAACTGTAGTCTCAGTTTAACAGCAGATCAGAAAGTTAAATGGATTCACCTTTAATTTTCCTCTTTATGTTTTTGTTTTTTGTCTAAATTTGAATTTACAGAATTCTATTATTTGTTTTTTTTCTTCAATAAATACAAAAACCACCAACTGATGCTTATTGGCCCTTTTATTATTAATATGATTATTGTTTTGGTTTTTTGGGGTTTTTTTTTAAACAAATTCATCAAATACCGTTCATGTCTGTTGCATCGGTGAGGTGACAGAAATCTGTTTGCAGAGAACACCAAACCTCAGCAAATGCAGCCACCTGCAGGTCAGCCTGAGACCACCAGGGGTGAGTGAACATACGTGCAGGTTGTTGGATAAAAGAAGCAACAAAAAAAGTTCAAAAAGTTTCATTATGACTGGGATTACTGGTGGTCGAGTTACTGTTCTGGGCGTTGGTTTTAAATCATCGTGAGCGTTTCCCTCTCCTGTCCTTGGTTCAACAGTGTGTGATAAACATCCTGATTTGATTGGTTCTTGGCTCCTCCAACAACCTTCTCTGCCAACACGGTTCTTTTTGTCACCTTGAAACTCTCTGTTAATCCCACCTCTGTACTAATTCAAACTTCTTTTTATTATAAATTCTTTTTTCTGCTTTCGTTCTTCTTTTTCTTTCGTTAATCTTTTTCCTATGACATCAGATCATTCATGCGGTTTACGTTTGTTGTCTCTTCTCTTTCAGCTGTGCCAGTGTCCTTCCCTCTGTCCTCCCTGTCTCTGCAGCCGGCAGATCAGAGGATGAGGGCGTCTTTCCTCAGGTGTAAGTATTTAATTTTAAATTCTAAAAAGCTCTTTTACTTATTTAAAAACTTAAATTTTTTAACCAGCAGAAATCTAGAATCATGTACTGATGTGATGCTGCCTCTGTGTCTTGGCAGAATTTTTAATGCGATGATGGACGTTGACGTTTGTGAAAATGTGTGTCTGATCTGTTTGGGTCTGGTTCCCGTCTTGACTCCGTGCTGCCTTGTTATTTAATTGTCTTTTTCCCTTTTTCAATATGCATGAGTTTCCTTCCCGTTCTTCCTCCGTGCGCTGCATCCATTCAGTTTGTTCAACCTGCGTGTTACCGTCCGTGACTGTTTTTTTTTTCTTTTTGTTTTTGTTTTCCGTGTTTGTGCTTCACATAATACAAGCACTGCTGAGACATCTGAGAGCTCATTAATGATGGATGGACATCTGTACTGTATTTAGGACATCCAAGTCTGTCATTAAGACCAGCCTCCTGTCAGATGGCAGGTGGCGCTGCAGCAGCACCTTGTTAGGTATAAATAAATCATCAGGTCAACAAAGGATTTAGAAACCATGTGGATTGTTGCCTCTGTGCCAGAATATAATCTGAATAAGGCTAATAAATGTTGAATATACTGTTGTCAGTAACGTATATGTCAATAATTAGTAAAACATTTTTTAAAATCTTAATGAAAACATTTTTTTTTTCTACATATCCTCAAGTTTAAACCTAAACTTTATTTCTGTGAACAGTGTTTCCAACAAAGAGTTCTTTTCTTTGTAGAATCCTGGCAGTGCTTATGAGTGGGAGTGGTTGTACGCTGCCCCCACCTGATGATTGCTGGAATTACCCCCAGAACCCCCATAAAAATAAAAATAAAAAAGAATCAAATCTTCATTTTTTTCTTTTTTTTTCTTTCCATGTTAGATTCATGTCGTCTCTCCCTGGACCCTGACACTGCGCACCCCACTCTGATCCTCCTGGAGGGGCCTCAGGGTGCCCACTGTGGGGAGGAGCCCCAGTCTTACCCGCCTCACACACACCGCTTTGATTCGGTGGCCCAGGTCCTGTGCAGGGAAGGCCAGTTTACCGGTGCCAGTTACTGGGAGGTGGAGTGGAGGGGTGGGGGTTGGATCGACATCGGCGTCACTTATCGAGGTATCGGACGCAAAGGCGGGGGGAAACCGTGCCTGCTGGGACGCAATGAGAACTCCTGGCGACTGAGGTGTACACACGCAGGCTACGCCGCCTGGCACGACAACCGTAAGACCACGGTGGCCGCACCGCCGTGCCCAAGGATCGGCGTGTTCCTGGAACGCCAGAAAGGAGTGATATCCTTCTACAGTGTGTCGGACGCCGTGGTGCTACTGCACACGTTTCGTTGCCTGTTCTCGCAGCCGCTGTACCCGGCGTTCCGTCTGGACCTGGACTCTACCCTTCACATCTGTCCCCAGGAGGGAGGCGGTGGAAACCAGAACTAAGTCCATAAAAACCTCCGTCCTCGTCCACAACAGGAGGAATCTGTGTGAGAAAACTCTACGTCATCACTGATCTGGAGTCACATGGGTCTCTGTCTCAGGACTCTGACTGTAGCTCTCTCTCTCTCTCTCTCTCTCTCCCTCCCTCCAAGTGCCACTAAACCAAAATAATCACATTGTGTAAAATCCCAGTGTAGGTGGAAGCCATTAGAAACACCTTGTTTGTGAACTTATGTCCAAATGCAACAGTAGACAAAACCAAAAAATGTCCATCATCCTTGTTCTGACTTTTGTTTTGTTTTTTTACCAAATATTTTTTTGAAGAACAAGACAAAAAAAAAAATCAGTTCATCAGTTGCTGGGTAGAACTCGTCTATCATGGACTTTAAAAAAAAAGTCTCAGCCCAAAACAACTTAATATAACCATACAAATTTCTAACAATAACAGCAACATTCTAATAAAGACAACCACATTTTTTCTTTATTTTAAAACTTTAATTACTTCCCAAAAATCTCTGC